AATCAAAATGAGAGTGCGCCTTTAAGTTCACTGGTACCCATATTACACACTCTGTAAGAAAGGCCCTATCTCCTCGTGTGTACATCTTCACCAGGTAGCATGTGTACTGAATAGATCAATATTTGTTTGAGTTTACACAGCCACATAATAATATGTTGACTCTATCCCTGTTCAACGGGCGATCCGGGGCCTTGAATGGCGAAACACGATCCAAGAAATCTAGGTCGGTTTGTTCTAGATAGATCTGAAGGGTTTAGATAACAACCTGAATCTAGTCAAATAAAGATGTTCTTTGCTGTCCTGTTTAAAAAAGTTGTACACATCTGGTGTGTGTTCTGTGTTCTTATCACGAGCGCTTGCGTCACCTTTGAGCCAAATCATGACTTTACAATACTTTACAGTGCGTCATATCCTAGCACTGTTTAACCTAATATCAGTATAGCACTTCATGAGGGGCTCCGTCACGTGTTCACGTGCATCGTAGCTACCGTATCACCTGTCGGCATCAGTATGCGCACGCATGATCACTATCGAGATGTCGTAAAACCACTCGGAAGAAAAAGGGAAGGTGAAGGATAGTCACCCTGTTGTATCCCAGTTGTCGGCGAAAAAACTGACACTGTGTTTAATATCGGGTAACAAGTTGAGACATATCGTATATTCCAGCGTTACTTAGTCTGCATACGTATTTTTTGTGGAGAATAAAATGAAAGTGGTTACAGCTAGGATGGAACTTGGATGGAGGTAGAAATGGACTGGGAGGGGTGAGATCGGTGTTAGCGGGTGCAAGGTTGGAAATGGTGAGAATATGATGGATGTGGGGGTAGGTGATTGGGGTATAATGGAATGAAGTGCTTGTAAAGGGAAAATTGGTGGGGGATAAGACTGGAGCGTGAGTTAAAGTTTGGAGAGGGGGTGGGGGTGGGTGGTGGTGAGTGGGTGGGGCTGGTGGTGTGGAGGGATTAGGGTGGGGAGAAGGAGGATGAGTGTAAGTTTGGTGGTGGGTGTCAATCGAACGATGCATATGACAGCGGGCTTTAGTACCTAAAACATAAATTACTTGGTAATATAAAATTGTCATAACTCGCAATTTCATCTGAAATATGTGAAGACACCCCACACAGCGTAAGTACATAATGACCTAAAAAGGCTCCACGAAACGGTCTATAAATGATTCATATGATTCAGAAGTGAGTTCAAAGTCTAACACAGTTCATTTAGTGGTGACATATTTACTCCTCTGAATGTCATACACTTATCTTACGTCCTTAAATTTGACTTGATTTGTTTTTATATACATCCCGTTTGTGGAAAGTTGGCACACATTCCTCTGGCGGGATATCTGTTGGCTTGCTTTTTTTGACGGACAAGATTTAAATAAGCTCTTCTTAGTCATATTTAGCTTAATGATAAAACAAAAACTGAAAGTAAATGGGTATTCGTATATCCCTATATGTTAAGGCCCACCAGTTTGAACATAGCCTGCCTTTAAACAGATAAATACTTCAGATGTCATACTGTATTGTAAATACAAACTGTATGGTGGCCATCACCTGTGAGGTGGGGCGGTGGGGTAGCCTAGTGGTTAAAGCCTTGGCTCGTCACGCCGAAGACCCGGGTTCGAATCCCCACATGGGTACAATGTGTGAAGCCCATTTCTGATGTCCCCCGCCGTGATGTTGCTGGAATATTGCTAAAAGCGGCGTAAATCCAAACTCCTGTTGTTGGAGGTAGTTCAGTGGTTCAATCGGTGGTCGTGGCTAGTTGACCTGTGTCCAAAGCACAGGTCAGGTGATCAGTCTAAGCTGTGATCCTGACCACACCGCATCAAGTACACGTGGATCTCCTCAGACAGGTGGCTTTGGTCTGAAAATGTATCTGACCACCCAGCAATGAATGGGTACCCGTAAGGACAAGATATGGATTAACGTTCTAGCATCTCACAGGCAGTTCAGGTTATATACTCCTCAGGAAGCTGAGAGTGAAAACCTGGTTGACCGGGTTAAAACTGTCGCGTTTGACACTGCGATAAGCGTTTAATGTCATTATTATTATCATTATAGATAATCTATACTAATATATACTAGTAATAATAGAATGATACAGACAGTGGTTTGCAGTTGTCGCCATGCTTGGAGTAGTGAGCGTGGCGTTGAGCGACTGAGACAGCTGGATCTGTCGGAGTCCATTCATGCAGCATCCAGCGCTGGGATGTAGGACATTATGAGCCCAGATTGCCGCCAGCAGTTAAAGGGTTAACATAACCGGCTGTCACACCTCACGGATTCACTTTCCAAATGTTAACTAGTTTTCATTCATGTGCGAGTACTTAAGCTTATAACCTACAGGTATATTCAGGTATATTTATCCCACCGTGTCAATGCATACTTGTTATCAAATGAGGTCCGAGATGGTTTGTATTTAATTAAACTGTGTAAATATCTGTAGGAATGTGTGGGAATGTGTATATGGAGACATTGTTTAGAATGTGAACGGAAACCTGAAAGACTTTGTCACATGCGCTTAGAAAAACGTTAAGAAAGGTCAAGGTCACTGATGTCACAAACCAACCCTATAACAAACGATGAAAAATCTCATTAAGAATTGTAAATGATACACTGAACTACGTTTATAACGAACACGTTTATAACGAACACACGAATGTGTAACGAACTGTTTTTCTTCTCAAAGCCCCACTTGTATATTTCAGTCGAAATGAGTTTAAAGAACTAAATGAGACCATATACCGAACTGTGGTAATAACCAACTAAAATGACTGGTCCCTTTGAGTTCGTTACAACCGTAGTTTGCTGTAACTGTAAATAAATCGACATGAAACACAAAAATACTTTGAGACCTATAAACATGGGCAAGGGGCACAGTGGATGAAGTACCCTGATTCGTTGATCAGAGTTGCATCCATTTGTTATTGCAGGATTCGCAAATAATGTTCTGCATCTCTCTAATCAGATAAAGCTTATTTACTCCTCCACTCCAACCTCCACATGGAAGAAACCGCACTTTACGTCACCTGTCGTCCAGGTTACTCTGATTCCACTATCTGTCCGTAATCCTCGTTTTGATTAAACCACTGACGTCTCATTGAGGTTGCTCATTGAGGTTGCTAAACGTTTTCTGCCATTGACACAGGATGATAGGAATTCGGAGTTGCCTCCCTTTTACCGAATGTTTGTCGTTGAGCATCGTCTTCCTCCAATGACAGACACTGCCTTTAATAACCATCATTGAAATAACCTTTGCTGTGTATCATATTACACAGTTTAACATATTTATTCTATTTATAATTACCATTTTGAAAAAAATGGAATCCTCTAACGTTGATGAAATGTATATCCTTTTGTTTTTTTGCGAAGAAAGACAAATACAGAAACCAAAATCGATTTTTATGACTATCCCATAGCAATAATATTTTCATTCCTGTTCGTGCTCTTTCTGTGCTTTTGGCATCACAAGAAAAGACTCATATGAGTGTAATTTAGACACTATCGAAAGCACAGTCCTATCGTAAGGAGATATTGAGTGAGTAGCAATATTCCAGCAATATCACGGCGGGGGAAACCAGAAATGGGCTTCACACATTGTACCCATGTGGGGGAATCGAACCTGGGTCTTCGGGGGGACGAGCGAACACTTTAACCACTAGACTACCCCACCGTCCCAGATAAGGAAGAGTGATACTTAACATCTATCGAGGTGTATAGATACAAAACCAGTCGAAGGTGAGCCCGTGCTACTGTTAACATAACCGAGATACAGTCTACGAAACTGCGCACAAAGACCCGCGCACGTTTTGAAAAATACAGAAAAAAACATCATCCTATTTAGATAAACTGAAAGAAAACTGAACGCGCGAACGTGACCTAAATACTACGTAGACTTCGTCTCGAGGTGATACATCACAACCGACAGACGTGCCGTGGAGTAACATCTAATGGTACAGCGAGATGAAAGATATGTTTTTATAGTCAATATTCAACATGTTTACAAGTCTACGTCAAGCACACGATCAAGCACAATGAGCCAGGGTGAAAGTAGGTCATATCTGATATGCGATGGTGGGAGGACACCCGGTGTTCTGTAACGCCATGTCTTTAACGTAGGAAGCACAATCGGAACGTACGGTACAAGCTAGACTAACGTTTCGCCTCGGAAATGAACATAGTTTACAGAAATTTAAGGAAAAAAAAAATTAAATTAAATATAATGAAAGGAGCAGTGGTATTCTAGACTTGCCACACATTCTAGACTTGACAGGGTTTTCTTGGATATATTTTCTAGGTCTGTATGACAGACTACGTGTAAGTTAAAATTGTATCCGACATAATATTTGTCAAAGTTTGCAATTTTCTCATATGTCTACCATACAACCCTTTGGAAGCTTTACTGAGGCTTCCCATGAAGATCCGGGGTAGAATAGGTCTTCAGCAACCCATGCTTGCCACAAAAGGCGACTTTGCTTGTCGTAAGAGGTGACTAACGGGATCGGGTGATCAGGCTTGCTGCCTTGGTTGACATCGGTTCCCAATTGCGTAGATCGATGCTGATGCTGTTGATCACTGGATTGTCTGGTCCAGACTCTATTATTTACAGACCGCCACCATATAGCTGGAATATTGCTGAGTGCGGCGTAAAACTAAACTCACTCACTCACTCAATTCATATGTCACCTAAAACAATTTTAAATAAACAAAAATAGAATTTGTTTCCAAGTTGAATTTTTTTCAGAGATTCGTCTACATTCGGAAAGCACCAGGGAAGAGGAGAAAAACATGCTCTTTGAAATCCTAGTGAAAAGAGCGCGCTTGAATGCTCAAAGTTGTGAAATGTAAACACCAAATGCTGGAGATGTTAGAATATTGCTCGATATGAAGGGAAACTTGGCTAGTGGAAAGTAGAAATCACCCCTTGTGTCATTCTGAATCTTTCTGGATTGATCTAAATACGAACACACGTCTCATATATCTTGTTTCTGTTTCCAGGAGTGCGGGCATGGTTGGACGTCGATGAAAGGACGTGTCATCTTCTGGTTCCACCTGAATTACGCCACAAACTCCGGCTACGTCCTCTTCAAGCTTTACGGCCAGCAGTGCCAGAAGTGCAAGAATGGGTCCTATGAACACGCCATGTGGTACCCAGAAGAAGTTGTCAAGGTAGGTGCAAGAGTGAGTGAGTCAGTTAGGTTTTACGCCAGCAATATCACGGCGGGAGAAACCAGAAATGGGCTTCACGCATTGAACCCATGTGGGGAATCGAACCCGGGTCTTCAGCGTGACGAGCGAACGCTTTAACCAAAAACAAACAAAGAAAAACCTAAAAAACCCTGATAAGAGTTCCTTACGTACACGGTACCCCCCACCTAATTTTTAACTATAAACTATAGACTAAACTATAGTGTTTGCTCATCACAAAAATAGGCGGGGGTACGTAAGGAACTCTTTCCAAAACCCTAAACATTGTTTTTTGTAAAACCAATAACATGCAATGGAATCACAGTGCAGTTATTCCTAGATATTTCAAGGTCACTTAACTATGTGCCGTCACGTTGCAGGTCATCGGCAACGTGTACAACCGAGTCGGCCAGCTCTACTACGGCTTTGTACGCCCGCCACTGAGAATAGACAGACGAGCCGGGAAACCAAGGAACCAACACAACGCCGAGCTATGCCAAGCATGTAAAGAGGGACTCTGCAAAGAAGAATGGTCATTCTCATGACGTCACCATGACGTCGCCTAGATACTTGCTCACAATCAAAATCATTCGAATTTCCTCGGTAAATTCCGACAAAGTCCGAAGTTGGTTTCAATCGGAATGACCACAGGCACAATATGTTTGAATTGCCGAGGTTTTCCGAACGACTGGAAACTTGTTAGGAATGCAATAGTTTAGGTCCATATGATATCCTGAGGCTGCCTGGAGGGTGCGTGCGTGAGTAAAAGTAACTGAGTGAGTAAAAGTGTTTAGTAAAAGCTCACGATCACAAGCGTCTAATCTGTCCTACTTTTAATTTGAGAGTTGTTTGAGTGGACACGACCGCCAAAGAACGTTCTGGACGAGTTTCACTTTGCTTGCTAAATGGCATAATCTATGCAGTATCCAACATCGTCGATGTTTACCGGGTTCGAATCCATTACGTTCCTCTATCACCCGTGAACTGCGGTGTAATAATGACGAGAGTTAGTTACAGTCGACCGGCGAAATAGAACATTGTGTATCTCAACGAAGTCAGAAGAAGCCAACTTATTGCAGGACTTTTATATCAGCGAACCCTACCGTATTTAATCCCAAACAAAGAAACAGTCTCGATTAACCGCCATTTGGCGTAAAGTCAAAATAGGGGTAATAATTATATGAATAGATAACTGTGTGTGCAGTAGATGACTGAAAGGGCACGTGCTGCACGAGACATGTTACCTTTAGTTAGATGTAACCTGAGCGCTCATTGGTCAGAGCTCTCGTTAGTTTCCCCGTCCCTTGAACCAGACCTGTTCCGCTGTTTGATAGGTTGGTGAATATCATCGACTGCAGCGTACAGGCCCAATGAATTCACGGTGATGGAGGAAGGTGGTGTATACATTCCCGTTAGGACATTGATGATAAGGACTGCAATCGCTTCTGTATCTCACACTGCTTATGTATAAATATTAGCTATCATAAACCAAACTCATCCATCAGATGACTTTATTCAACGTTCTTGTATACGCTTACATTTGTCACTTGAAAAAATCATAAAAATCTACATATGTGCATATCCCCTAAGAACATAAAAACTACTTGTTTTGTAACTTTTTCTACAAAGCAAGTTCTGCATTTGCGTATCGTGCTTTCATAAACTCATGATCACACAATCCTCTTGATTAAGGCGATTACTGTGTACAATGAAATCCCTTTAAACCGGTCAGTTTCGTTCAAACCAATGAAAAAATCCAAATCCCTTTTTTAATGTGTTTGGATGTTCAATGTCAACAATAATTATTTTGAAGATGGGGATTTCGGATTATCAAAATCCTGCTAAACGCAGTCCTGATTAAGGAGGGTCTGGATTAGCGGGGGGTCCAGATAAACAAAGATCGGGTTGACAAGCGCCAGGTCAATAAACATGGTTCGGATTAACGATATCCGGGTAAACAAGGTTCAGATTAACGATGACCAGATTAACGGGATTTCATTGTAAAAAACTTCAAACATTCCATTTTACTTGAAGAATCTACCTTACTACGCATTTACATCGTTGTTATTTCAAGCAATTTGTCTCACTTAGCATTGAACTTAGTGCCTTCAGATATATGTATATATTTTGATAAGTATTTACTGTTTACTGAACTTTTTGTTTGGGGTTGAGTATGGATGTGATACATTGTTTCGGGGGTTCCGATATCACCGCAAGTTGAATGTGCATGCACGCAACGACTATCCCATTGTAATTCACACCAGAGCATTCCACCGTTGAAGGATTTTGACAGTAATGAGTAGGGTGAGTGAGTGAGTGAGTTTAGTTTTACGCCGCACTCAGCAATAGTCCAGCTATATGGCGGTGGTCTGTAAATAATCGAATCTGGACCAGACAATCCAGTGATCAACGCAATTGGGAACCGATGACATGTGTCAACCAAGCCAGCGAGCCTGATCACCCGATCCCGTTAGTCGCCTCTTACGACTAGTATGGGTTGCCTGAAGGTTCATAACTAACCCGGATCTTCACGGGTCGTAATGAGTAGGAACGTCGAAAAAACATATCAGTAGAATACATTTTACAAAAATGAGTCATCATGTTAAAGTCTGGAAACAACCGTTAGGAATGGTTTGGAAACAACCGTTTTTAATAGTCATAAAAATTATCAATTATTTTGTTCATTTGAAAAAGCTATCCATATCGTCGGCGGTAAAAAAATACTTTTGTCGTTCTGATTTCATTCTGTTTATATTTTCGGTTTTTTAAGTCGGCTAATCGGGTGTTTATTCGTGGGACATCGAACGCAACAGTATCACCCCATGATATGTGTATCCCGTCTCGTGTTTGAACGGCAGAGCCTCACTGCCTTCAAAATCAGAATCGGTCATTTATTCATTCAACAACTTCCGGAAGCTCTTTCACTTGATGTGGTTTAGTTCGACGTTTGCAGTCCGTACACTTGTGTAGTTTTCAAACGATTTCAGAAGGTTCCCTCACTCCGAAACCATTCCGTTAAAGTTGGGCACAACGTGTCATGCATCAATCATGCCATTCGTGACCAACTCGTGTTATTCCGGGACAAGCCGAATAGGTTACGGAAAGAGGCGAGTGGTGACGAATGCAATCATGCACGCCCTCAAACATGCATTATCTCCCCTGATGAAACTGAAGGCAAACACAAGTATCGCTGTCCTCGCTATTTTGCTTAGCTACTAATAGTAGCTACTCCAGTTTGTATATATTATTCGTTTGTAACATTTTCTCAAGTTATATTGTATTTACATATTGCATTTTTAAGACGTATGTTTACTTATTTGTGTAGAGGGCGTACGCCTTTCATTGAGACACGTGTGTGATCTTTTTTATCTTGATTCTTTGTGTGATTAATGTTGAAAAATGTTTCTATAAATTTTAGTAAACATACAAATCATTTCACTGATCAATTTTGTTTTTTTACATGCCATGTTTAAGATATATTTTTTGGCTACACATTATCTCTTAGCCACTATTTGATAACCTGCTGACGTGGACGGCGGCGTTCCATGTTTAATCAGCTGGTGTCAACAAATATTATTTGTTATAAATACATGTTTTCATCATTTTTACTAACTGTTCATTTGTTATCTACATAAAACATTATGTACATCTTTTGTCATTGTATCAGCATAACGATTTCATGTGCTGGGCTGTTCACGCAACCAATGTTTTTCTATATACTGATGTACAAAAGAAAGTACACATCTGATGCTTTGGTAAAATGTTTTCCTGAAAACAGCGTAATATTTAGAAAAGTGTTTTGATTGCGACTCACAAGTCACAAACATTGTGTACGTGTTGCTATAACACCATAGATATCGTACCCAATTGGAACATTGCTACAAAATATTTACGTTGTTTTAATGGTCTCAAAACACCAGGTGTGTACTTTCTTTTATATATCAGTATATGTACTTTACCCTTATACCTAAGCTTGTATGTATGTCTGTATATCCCACGATTGCGCTTGGTATAAAATTGGAACTGTAAAAGGTGACCTACAGCTGACGTAGCTTTTAAATTGATTCTATTTTCTAATTCCTTTATAATCCTCAATAATCGCTGTGGCATTGCCACCAAAATTCAATCTAGTCAAAATAGGACATATTCATACATGATATAAAAGAAATTCGATTTGACAATTTAACAAATAGTTCTTGATAATAGTTTCTTTCATGTTAAAATGTAGTCATTTACACTATCACATTTTCAGCGCATTGGACATTTTCATGTCAGGTTCATCATTGAATGAATGGTGTTGTTTAATAAGATGAATAAGATGACGTCACGGTATCCATTGAATTAATCATGATCTTTGGTACGTTACAGAACCAGTCTTAATGTGCCCCTGTTCAAATTACCGCGGTCCTTGATTTTGATCGCATATGTTCTAGCACCCATACTCGTTACAATGAAATACATCTATTCCATGCAGAGGAATGCATCGTCTGTTTCAGGCAACGATCGTATTTTTGATCCACCCAGATGATTTGGGTAGTGTAGTCATCTTTTTGGAAAACGTGGATTCGGGGTGAAGACTTTTTTATGTGCAATCGATGTAAATTGTACGATGTATATCATGAATTATATTATCTATACAAGTCCAGTATCACCTGTGACGTCACTGTGGCGTACTTCCGTAACATCCGTACATATGACACAAAAATCAACGTTTAACTTTGAAATGCAAGTATCATTTCATTATTATTGTATATCTGCACATCATTTGACGACAATCTTTTGTTCAAACATTTAACAGCTGAAGTTACCAAAGCCGCTTTTTTGTTTATTTTCTTTATGAATTGTTTACTCGATATTAGGGATCGTACTGGGCCAGACTGAGTGACAGTCAATATTCATCGTAAACGACCATCTGCAGCTGAGCCGTAAGTGGAATCATTTCTCGAACTTTTACGACTATACCTCGTTCATCCGGACCGTATAACCGAGTCCATGATGTCAGGTCTTTTTATTGGAGGAGAGCACCTCTTTAGTTGGCGCTCAATTATTTCACCAGTCGAATACTTGTTTGTTTTAATTCACCGCGGACGTGTTTCGACATTCGTAGGTAACTATCTACCATATCAATCACTGAGTAACGATTGAATAGGTCCCAAAATAATTTGTGTGCTGTATCTCATGAACCGTTAAACGGTCGTCCATTTTTTTTCTGGTCCTGAAGACTGTTTGTGGTATTTGTTTCGTTTCACTCCTTTTATAGGTAGTCATCGATCGTTACCAAAGACTCTATCTCTAGATAGAGAAACGTACGTCACCACGGAATTCCCTGTTTTGTAACCGCCAGTGACGCTAAAATAGCGCAGAAATGCTTTCTGAGTACATTAGGCAGCGTTTAGAATGAACGTTCGATGACTTCCTCTAAGCGGAGATACGAACTTGTAAAGTGGTCTGTATTTACCGCTGTTTTTTTACGATTGAAAGTTGTGACCATCACAAAACCCATACAGTACCCCAAATAAATGTGTTTTAATGTACTTCGTGGACCAAACGTCATATCATTCATGGGGTTTGGGAACTTGTTCCATATACAATGTATTTGCGGTAGTGAATATTCTTAGCTAACATTGTTCAGTCATTTTATTAACTTTATTCATATTTTTCATATTTTATTGTCATTATATTTTTATGTCTACCTAAAATAAATAAAATGAATGCGACATTTGTTTGGGTTGTTTGTGAAACTGGCGTACGTATATCCAATCCTTTGTGAGCGTGCGTATGTGCGTGCGTGTTTGAGCGTGTGCTTGAGTGTGTTTGAATTCGTGCATGCAATCCAGTGATTGATGAGATGAGTAACGTATCCGAGATTAGACCCTTGAATTTGAATTCGAGGCGGCGGGGTACCTTAACGCTTAACGCGCCCGCTCGTCACGCTGAAGACCCGTGTTCTATTCCCGACATGGGTACAATATGTGAAGCCCGTTTCTGGTGTCTCCCGCCGTGATATTGCTGAATTATTGCTAAAAGCGGCGTAAAACCATATTCACTCACTCAATGAACATTTCAGAGAGCATTTTCGTCTTGCAAAATGGCCACTTTACCTTTAAACGAGACAATTATTCAGATGTGTTTGTTTCTTGTTAAAGAAGCACTCATCACAATTCCAGCTATATGTCGGCGGTCAGAGAATCCAGTGATTGACATCATGAGCATCAATCGGGATACGGCGTATGAGAGCCACGTCAGATTGGATGGATTGATGAAGACCAATTCTAACTCGGTTCTTCCTAGATTTAGAGAGATATGACTAGCTTACAACTACATATAAACATGATATGAAGAGTAAGCATTGTTGACATATCACTGTTATTTCAGAATTCTTATATACACTCTTCAAAAACATAAACGCATAGGTGATTTTAAAAAAAAAAAAAAATTATTCAGCCTCGGTAACCACGGTTTTACATAAACCATATATATAGCCTTAAACTTTTACCAATTATATTTTCTATTGTAAATCTGTGATTTTGAGAATATTGGACATGTAGCTGCGGCAAAAACTATACAAATATACTATTTATTCCAAAACATCATCTTTGTGTGATTGTAAACAGCTTCAACACCTTTTCCCTTGTTTTAGATGAATTTGAAGAAATATTCGACAAGACATCACCAAGAAAACATGCTAAGCAAAATGCACGTGCAAGTAAGCGGAAAATCATTATAAAAACACAAACGTTGTGTTTATTTTGTTTTTGCCT